GAGTGGTGTTAGCGAGCACCTATGAAGGCCGGCACGGCACATGAGTGGGTGGCCAACACCACGCCCGGCCACCTTTGTCTCCCCAGTGGTGAAGTTTACACACTACACCAGGTACTCACTTGAGGCTGAGTCGACCTAGGGGAGGCCCAGGACCGGTTCAGATAATCGTTACTGGGTTGGTGGCCGTGAGCGGGAATCGAACCTCAGGTCGCCGGGTTTGTAGCACAGCGCGCTAACCGCTACGCCACCGCTCCCCCGCACACAGACACACACACCCACGCGAAAACAAGGACAGGCACTCGAAGAACTACACACGCGCTAAGTGAGGAGGTCACCATAGGAGGTGGGGTATCATCACCATCGCCCATTGTAGATACCGCGACCCTCACGCACTGCAGCTCGGGGCGCCAGAACAAAGGGGCATTTGGGATACTCACCGATCGTAATTAAGGTCGTGACTGCCCACCAGATACAAAGTTCAAAAACAATGCAGTACTGTATAGACGATATAAAAGTTCACTAACACAAACTGATTCATCCGCTTTACTCAATCGTTCATCCACTCATTCATCTACTCACCAATCCATTCATCATTCCTCACCCACCCACTCATTCGCTCTTTAATTTAACTCAACCTCTAACATCATCTATTATTGATAACGCACCTTCCACCCAATGCATGTCGGGACGCCAGCTTAAAGGGGCATTTGGGATAATAACTCGGTGAGAGCAAAGCCAAAATAAAAGTTAATAGACAATGCAGCATAGGCAATTTACACAACACACCAGCATGGAAAATGCTCATACCGGTTTTCTTGTATTATCTTAAGCGCTTCGAACAAAGGGGCTCTATGAATATCACGTAACATTTCGGACAACGGACCATTTAATGGAACAGAAGGGTTTATAGGAGTTGCTTAGAACAATAGTTTAGGGCCGATCATGGGGGGGGGGGGCGGTTTGAGGCCCGGGGCAAACCCCAGTGTGTGTGCCCCCCGACGCCTTCAAACTAAACTGGTAGGTATTCTGACACCGTGACGTTGAAACGCGAGCTCCCCCCCCCCCAAGCGCGGGGCCCGGGACGGTCGCGCCGATTCGCCGTAACCTAGGAACGGCTCTGTACACATGGCTAATACACAACTAGAACTATGTACAATGTAAATCTAGCGAGCGATCAAATATACTGTGAATACGTTAAGCACGCCACTAGTGAGAGGAACTCGCACATGCCATGTGCAATGGCATTTTAAACACAGCGTCAAAGGGGAAATGGGCAACCCTGCAAAGCCAACATTCACTCACCCACTCACCTACTCACTCACCCACTAACTCACCCACTCACTCGCCCACTCACTCACTCACCCACCCACTCACCTACTCACTCACTCACCCACTAACTCACCCACTCACTCGCCCACTCACCCACTAACTCACCCACTCACTCGCCCACTCACTCACCCACTAACTCACCCACTCACTCGCCCACTCACTCACCCACCCACTCACCTACTCACTGACCCACCAACTCACTTACTCACCCACTAACTCACCCACTAACTCGCCCACTTACTCATACACCCACTCCCTCACTCACCTACCCGCTCACCCACCCAAAAACTTACTCAGTCGGAATGCGCCCGAACTCGACAGATCCGGGAAGCTAAGCAGGGTTGAGCCAGGATGATGCGCGAATGGGAGTGGAGCGCCGTGCACAATGAGACAGACGCAGCAGTGTGCGGTGATGTGGGCAGCAGAGGGCAGCGCAGTAAACACCCCCCGTGTCCCATATCTGTATCCACAATAGTGTTGCGGGAAAATGGTGCGGGGTATGGCGTGGTGGTGGTGGTGGTGGGGGGGGATTCTTTGATCCACCAGCGGATTGACACCAACGCTTTGTGTGGTTGTTGTTACCCTTATCTCAGCCAGCCGACCCCATTGCACCCTGGGTCTGTCCCGTGACCTCGTGCCAGCGGGCGTTCGACACTCCACGCGTGTGGCACTTAAAAGTGCACCTGGCCTGGCACCACAAGCGTCGTGGTGACGTCTCGGCCACTTAGTGGTGAATGGCGGTTGTTGTTAAGCCAAAAAGCCCGGAGCGGTGCGGTATAAACCACACACACACACGTGGTGGCTTTTGATTGACGCGTAACAACAAAGTGGGTTGGTGGCAGGATACGGGAATGAAAACATCTCACAGTTTGTACACTTCTCATAACTTCATAAGGCTAGCAACAACAGCAGCAGCAGCAGGATGGCAGTCTTCGTGCGTGGTGACGCCGAGTGTATCTCATGCGTCAGGTGGAAGAAGAAGACGTGAAGACAAGTGACAGCAGCAATAAGCAGCAGGGCAGTGTGAGGCAGAGGTCGCAAACGGGTTTTGATTCCTTACCCGTACCCGGCCGCACCAGGGTCGCAAATGGGTACCCGTTCCCTACCCGTACCCTACCCGAAATGAGTGACAAACAGTTACTCACCAGTGACTCACGACCTACTCGTACCCGTACCCGGCCGCACCAGGGTCGCATACGGGTACCCGTACCCGGCTGGGTACGGGTAGCCGGGTATCGGGTACCCGGTTGCGACCTCTCGGGTGAGGAGATGAGAGTCAATAAACACACTTCAGAGTATACTTTGATAGTGTAGTGTTGCCTTTGAGCTGTACGCCTTTTGGCGTCCTCTGGTCGAGCACTGAATTGGGTCGAGGCTCAAAAGAAAGCCGTCCCTTGGTGTGGACCAATCAGTTTCAAGGACAATGCCACAGATATTATCATAGTGTGTTTTTGTTTGCATTTTGACTGCAAGCATTGTGGTTAATGCACACATGAATCCTTGTAAAAAGGTTTCAGTTTTGTTGCCAGAAAAAAGGGGAAAACCCCTATTATTATTATAATAACACTTTAGAGTACTCGACTGCAGTTCGCCCCGCGCAGGTAACCTCGGTGGGTTCGTGGAATGGTTGCGATTTTTGTTTGCCTGGCGGCTGCTTTCATCGAGCAGTGGACTGAACATGGCTGACGGATTGCACCGCATAAAACAACAACAACAACGCACGCGTGGACGTCGCGATGTGCGTGGGCGAATCGAGACGCGAGGAAGGCGTTACCCTCATCCGTCTCCCCGAGCCCCAACTCTACCCATTGATCCTGACCTGCGATCACCAACGCCAACTCGCTAAACCTTGCCCCTCACATCCCTCGAGCCCGGTCCTCGACTCTTTACCCTCGACAACCCCGTCGCTTTGCGGTGTCCCGAGAGACGCGCAACCGTCACGAATGCCCAGTGGTTCACGGGTCACATACAACGCACACACACACACACCACACACACCCCACACACACACCCCCCACACACACACCCCACACACTCACACACACCCCACACACACACACACCCTCACACACCCCACACACACCCCACATCCGCACACACACACACCCTTAAACACACCCACACACCACACTCACACACACCCCACATCCCCCACACACACACCCCCCACACACTCACACACACCCCACACACACACACACCCTCACACACCCCACACACACCCCACATCCGCACACACACACACCCTTAAACACACCCACACACCACACTCACACACACCCCACATCCTCACACACACACACACCCCCCACATACACCCACCCACACACTCACACACACCCCACATCCTCACACACACACACACCCCCCACACACACCCACACCCACCCACACACCCTCACACTCCACACACACACACACCCCACACACGCCCACACACACGACGCGCACACCCCACACACTCCCACACACCCACACACCCTACACACACCACACACACACACAAAGCCACACACACAGAGCCACACACACATAGAGACTCACACAGAGCCACACACACACAAGAGTCACACATACACAGAGCCACACATACACACAGAGCCACCACCGCTTTAGACACAATTGAGGGAGGGGGGCTTTCGCATGTTTCTGCGGTAAATCGCACGAGATGAACAACAATGATGGCGCCGAAGGTAACCTTGGCTGGGAGTCGAACCCTCCGCCTTTTCACTTCCTCCTCGCTGGCTGGCACCGTGCCAAGTTCCCCATCGCTTGCTTGCGCGCCGTAAAACACCGTGGCGGTATAAATAGCACGCCCACTGTACCAAACCCACTGTGCCTCTTCTGCACAAAACGAGCCGAAACACACAAAAAGGGGCCCGTGTCATCAATAGGAAAATATATTATAGGCGACGTTTCGGGCAACGGTCCGTCTTCAGAGCGCATTCTCTGCTATGTTTACACGCCGCATGGAGTCTTCCCCAATGGTCGAGGCGAATCCCATTAACGCACTGAGACCCCCTCCTGCCCCAGCAGCAGCTCTGGCCCAGGACTGGTTCAGATATCCCTTGCCCACTGATCCAGTTCGCCGTGACAAGGGGTCAATCGAACTCGGGTCACCGCCATCAACGCAGGCAACGCAACGCACAGGCGCGCGTGGCACACAAGGAACACACACAACGAAGATCAAAGTTCCCCCCGTGTAGCCCTGCACGGGCTGATGGGGAAAGTTCTGTTCGTGAGCACACGCATCACAAGGGGGTTAGGGCTGCACCACGCCTGGCCGCCTTTGTCTCCCCGGACCAGATACTAGTCATTTTTAGACGGAGTTGACCTATGGGGAGGCCCACTACCGGCTCATGTTTATCGGTCGTGGGCGGGAATCGAACTCGGGTTGCCGGGTTCGTAGAGCAGTACGCTATCCACTACACTACCGCTCTAGGTCCTGGGTCTCCCATAGGTTGACTCAGCCTTAAATGAGTACCGTACCTACATTGAGTGAGGGGTGTATGCATTAGAAATGCAGGAGAGAAAGGTGGCCGGACGTGGTGCTGGCCACAGCCGCCCTCTCGCTTGCCGTGCCGGCCTTCACAGGCGTTTGCCAACAGCACACGTGGACACGCACACGTACACACACACAGCTGCACAGAAGAGGGCAGTTACACGAAACGTCGTATATTATCTGTGTTTAATAATGTGTTCAGTGTTTTTGACATGTGTTTTTGTACCACTGGCAACGAAGCATCATCATCAGCAGCATTAGCAGCAGCTCATTTGTATCTGGTGAAGTTTCATTGACCTTGAGGCCAGGGTCAGGATAAGCCAGCCCGTTCTCGACCCTTCCGGACAAACGTTGCTGGGTAAATTCCGCGACTGTCGAAGACAATGCAATGGCGTATCACGACGTAGAGTTTGAATACAAGTGTGACAGTTTTGAGTTGAACAGGGAGAGAGGTCTCCGTTTAGGTAAACCGGAGTAACGCCTTCCAATAACATCATTAGCTGACAGCAAGCGTGGAGTGTTTCACAGGCCAGATGTTGCTGATGATAACGCCACCCAGAACAGTCAAAGCTAGACGAGATTAACTATTGGCTCTTTGACGCAGAGGGGTGGATATGTTGTTTTTTTGCGTTAGTGTATCTTTTCGCACCTCCTACTTTTCACGGTGCGAAATAATTTCAACAGACATACTGTACATACATCACCACGTACGCGCGTATTAAATAGTGAATGAGGCCTGCAGACATCTGCGAAGCGATGCTAGCCGAATAACTTAAACATGAAGCGAGTCTACCTCGTAGGCACAACAATGAATCAGCTTATAGACAGCGTGGACAGAGACGACCTGAAGCGGGGAGCTGCCCCTCCTCTACAGCCCCCCCCACTTCTCCTCCTGCCCAATAGCGAGGGTTTCCCAACTTCCATAGCTCACCAGCCCGCACCACGGCGTGTCAGACACTCCGGGTTCACCAATCTTGTGCCAATCCGTACGAAACGTGCAGCACAGCCGAGGTCGTCACACGCGGCACGCGCCTGATGATTGAAATCCAATCGGGCGCTCGCTGCTTCACGCGCGACAAGCTAAAAGGCAAAGGTCACCCCAATGGAATTGTAACAGACTGTGGGGGCAAGTGCTGTTAGCGAGCACCTAACAAGGCCGGCACTGCACAAGCTGGTGGTGGTGTGGCCAGCACCGCGCCCGGCCGCCTGTGGCTCCCCAACCATGGTGATTACACCGAACGCAGGACACGGGGTCAGTAGTGCAGTGCGCCAACCACTGTGCCACCGCTCCCACAACACACGCACACAAGGTATCAGTCTCTCTTAATTCGAATCGGTGCTCTCTACGTCACACGGGGACGAGTTTAGCAATCATCAGGCACGTGCAGCATACAACGACTTATTTAGCATTTCCGTTCCACAGTTCCCTCTCTCTTTGTTGCCGAGCAGTCGGCCACAGTGACTCAAATTTAATTTGACCACATCCTAAGTTAGACACAAGAGGACGACGCTGTAGTTCTTGAGGAACTGTCGATGGCTTTTGCGCAATGCGCAGAGGCCGCATTCTGTTTCTGCACGTGACTGTGTGTTTGTTTGAAATGTACGGGTATGTCCACGGCGCGATGTCACAGCACGCAGGCAGAGAGGCCGAGTGCGTCTCCAGGGAGCCGGACGGACGAGAGCTGGAATGGTAGTCGAGAGGAACAACCCTGGACGGCCACAACAAACACCTCCTCATTCGAGACCTAAACATCACAACCTCCTAGATTCCACAGTCCTTCTCCTTTAAGAAGAAGACGCCGGTGGTGGAATCATCATCCGCGTCAGAACATCACCAGCAGGCCGATGCGCACATCTCCTCCGTGAATGCAAAATTAAAGATGCAGTCGAGCGATTGTGGCCATGCCACCGACGCTATGGACCGTGCAGTAAACCCACAGTGGTGCGCGCTCCTTCAACTGATTTAGGAGGAGATACATTGAAACGACACCACACGAAGTCTCTCTCTCTCTCTGATCTCGTCATGGCCAGCAGCAGAAAGACCTCGACTTTGGCATCGAGCTCCTAAACCACAACATCGCTGCTGCTGCTGCTGCTGCCATCATCACAATGCGATAATGGAGCTGCAATGTTAACTACAAGACAGTAAATAATCGATTATGGAATCTAATCGCTCCCCGGCCCCAACCAGCCTCATCAGAACAAATAATTGAATCGCGTTGAGCGAGGATTGTTGTACGTCTACAAGCGAATGCGACAGCGTAGCTACGATTAAAGTATTTACACGGTTAACATTTTATGTAACTTGGCAAATATCCTTGAACCGTCATCTTTCAGAGCCCGATCCCCTTACTTGCCCCGAAGTTTTTACATACATTGAATGATAAAAAAAAACAGTAAAATAATGTCGCCAGAGCGTCACCGAGTCTCAAGGCCGCATTCTCAGGAGGGTTCTGCCGCACTCGAATGATTGTCCGCTTCTCGCACTAGAAAACCCATCGCGGTGAAGCTTGCGAGGGTTCACCGGAGGAGAGAACGAGGAGGCGCAGCTCCGTAGTCGAGAGCAAAGATGGGGTCCTCCAGCAACCCGCATGCTCGACTGCCATCGTCACCTGGGTGGACGGGGGGGGGTCGCCACCTCTTGGGTACAAAACTCGTCAGGGGAGGGCGGGAGGGAAGACGAATCACGGGCAGAAGAATATCTCACGGCGCCGCGTAGATGGAGACGCCATCGTGGCCGAAGTCATCGTGGAGGCACGGCCACACCTCTTCAACGCTCCCTCTCCCTGCGCCAGGTATCCCGCAGCTGGTGCACAGCGAGTGACACGAACGGCGACCTCCGTGACCTGGCCCAGCAGTGTCCACCGCCTCTTCTGAGCTCTTCGCTTCCCCTTGGCCGCCAGACTCATGCCCCCCTTGCGTGGTGCGTCATCGTCCTCATCATCATTATTGATATTATTACGCAACTGACAAACACGGGGCCGTGCCAATTCCCGGGAAGTCTGACCCAGCTCCCAGGGGACGGCGAGAGAACGATCCTGGGGGGAAAAGCCGGGACAGGCGGCAACCCGACTACTTAAGCAACAAACTGCTCCGGCACGTTCTCGTCGATGTTCATCAGGTCGTTGTAGTTAATGTGCAGACGGCCCTCCTGCAGCTCCCTGAGGACATGTTCAGCCATGTGGTCGTCGTCCGCCTCGAGCGGCAGAACGTCCTCGAGCAGCGCGAGGTCCATCGCGGCGCGAGCGGCCTCCTCCTCCACCGCCACCTCCGCGGACGGCACCGGCATGGCCACGCCGGCGGGAGCCGGGTCGAGCGTGAGCCGCAAGGTGGCGAGGTCGCCCGCCAGCACGGCGCTCACGGGGCCCGTGTTCTGGGCGAAGATCTCGTCGATCTGCGCCACCTGGTCGTCCGTGAAGGGGGCCTCCGGTGGCGGGGCCACCTGCAGAATGCGGCCCTGGGACATGGTGACGTTGAGGATGGTGTTGGTGGACGTCACTGTGCAGCCCGGGCCGATGAACAGATCCGGGGGGCTCGGGGTTGAGATGGGGGGGCTCGGGGTGGCCGGGGAGGTGGCGGTGATGCCGCCGGCTCTGCGCGGATTCAGGCCTCGGGAGGAACTGAGTCGCTTGGAGTAGCGCGTTGCGGGCGTGGAGGGCTTCGTGGGAGCGGCGATGGGGGCCGTCGGGGCGGGGGGCCCCGATGCACCTTCATGCAACGACACGACATCCACAGTTCTTACTCTTACAGTATAGCCTTTAACAGACTGTTGGGGCAAGTGCTGTTAGCGAGCACCTATTAAGACCAGCATGGCACATGGGGGGTAGGTGGCCAACACAATGCCCGTCCGCCTTTGTCTCCCTAGTGGCGATGTTTACACACTGCACTAGGTACAAATTTGAGGCTGAGTCGACCTAGAGGAGGCCCAGGACTGGTTCAGATAGTCGTCACTGGTATTGGCCGTGAGCGGGAATCGAACTCGGGTCGCCGAGTTAGTAACGCAGGGCGCTGACCGCTACACCACTGCTCCCCACAAGTTATATACACGCGCGCACGAACACACATACACACAAACGTACCCACAAATGTACGTGTGCGCACACGTACACACACACATGCATACATACACACAAATGTACACAAGAGTGGGTGTGGGGGTACGCGTGGGTGGGGGGTACGCGCGTGGATGAGGGGGTACGCGGTGGTACCTGCGTGCATCGATCCGGAGTTCACAAACTCTTGCAGCTGGTAAGGCGTCTGTTTTCGTTTGCGCTCAACTCCAAACGCATCTGTAGTGGGAAGAACAGAAGACAATCATTTTCTCTCTTTTTAATATCAATGAATGTATTCCTTGGGCAACGGATGAGTGTTTGTTTGTACACAACACCAGGCCCGGCTGTTGTGAACCTTCTAGGAGGCGCAGTCGCGAACAGAGAGGGACAGAGAGGGCGCTACCTCGGCGCTGCCCACGCCATGTGGGGCACACAGATCGCACGCGGCGACGAGGTGGGTTGTGGCGAGGTGGGCTATGGTGAGGGAGGTGGTGGCGAGGTGGGTGATGGTGAGGGAGGTGGTGGCGAGGTGGGCGATGGTGAGGGAGGTGGCGACGAGGTGGGTGGTGACGAGGTGGGTGACGAAATGGTCACCGCGCGGATCTAAAATCAACGCGGAAAAAAACAAACGGTGATGGCAGAGTCGCGCACCGTCCAGCTCGGGCTTGTACAGGAAGCTGTGCGGGTTGCTCTGCTGCTGATCCGAGGGGCGCCAGAGGTAGATGGAGACCTTGACGGGGGCGCAGATGCCCTGGTCGTGGAAGGCTGGCGTCTTGAAGACGATGGCCACCTGCTTGTGGACGTCGCCCGTCGAGAAGATGCCCTCGGCCTGCCAGCCGGCCAGCGAGAAGATCACCCGGATGTCATCTGTGCGGCGATGCAGGGGTCGTGGATGGGAGTGGAGGGGGTCGACGGGGGAGTGGGGGGAGGGGGACAGGGGAGCAGGGGAGTTGGGGGGAGAAAGGGGGTAAGGGAATGGATGGGACTGTTTTGAGGATCGCTGTAGCTAAGCACAGTATGCCCAAAGCGCCCAGCAACAAACAGCACTGTTGTAATAGATAAGGGGGTGTAAGAATACGTTTGCTGATTTGAGCGAGGTTACCGTTGTAAGAGTCGAGAAGTGAGGTGACCTGCAATGTGGTGAGTGAGTGTGTGGGTGCGTCAGTGTGTGGGTGAGTGTGTGGGTGAGTGCATCAGTGAGTGTGTGGGTGAGTGTGTGAGTGTGTGGGTGAGTGCGTCAGTGAGTGTGTGGGTGAGTATGTGAGTGTGTGGGTGAGTATGTGAGTGTGTGGGTGAGTGCGTGAGTGTGTGGGCGACTGTGGTCGAACATAGTATGGGATGAGACGAGACGGGCAGTGTGGTGCAGCAGTGCCCAATGCACTCTGATCTCCATGCCTCCTCCTCAACACATCTCCTCACCGGGTTCCAATTCCTCACCTTTCTGAACCTTCTCGCAGAACAGCATCACCTCGTCTCCTCCGTGCACGCTGCCGTAAGTTTTGTTCATGCGCGTGATCTTCAGTTGAGACGCGCACGTCGCCTCTACGGGGGGAGTCAAGGGTGAGATGCAGGATACACGCGGGTGAGACGTGGGTGAGACGCGGGTGAGACGCGGGTGAGACGCGGGTGAGACGCGGGATACACGAGGGTGAGACGTGGGATACACGCGGGTGAGACGTGGGATACACGCGGGTGAGACGCGGGTGAGACGCGGGTGAGACGTGGGTGAGACGCGGGATACACGCGGGTGAGACGTGGGATACACGCGGGTGAGACGTGGGATACACGCGGGTGAGACGCGGGTGAGACGCGGGTGAGACGCGGGTGAGACGCGGGATACACGTGGGTGAGACGTGGGATACACGCGGGTGAGACGTGGGATACACGCGGGTGAGACGTGGGATACACGCGGGTGAGACGTGGGATACACGCGGGTGAGACGTGGGATACACGAGGGTGAGACGTGGGATACACACGGGTGAGACGTGGGATACACGAGGGTGAGACGTGGGATACACGCGGGTGGGACGTGGGATACACGCGGGTGAGACGTGGGATACACGCGGGTGAGACGCGGGTGAGACGCGGTACACGTGGGTGAGACGTGGGATACACGCGGGTGAGACGTGGGATACACGTGGGTGAGACGTGGGATACACGTGGGTGAGACGTGGGATACACGTGGGTGAGACGTGGGATACACGTGGGTGAGACGCGGGTGAGACGCGGGTGAGACGTGGGTGAGACGTGGGTGAGACGCGGGTGAGACGCGGGTGAGACGTGGGATACACGTGGGTGAGACGCGGGTGAGACGCGGGTGAGACGCGGGGTACACGTGGGATACACGTGGGTGAGACGCGGGTGAGACGCGGGTGAGACGCGGGATACACGCGGGTGAGACGTGGGATACACGCGGGTGAGACGTGGGATACACGCGGGTGAGACGTGGGGTTAGGTGTGGGTGAGGCCCCTCACTCTTGTCGAAGATGATCTCGGAGAGGACCGGGGGCAGAATCTGGTTGCTGGGCAGCAGCTTTGCCTGGAAGCAGAGCCTCACGGCCGTGAGGTCCATCTCCTCGGGACGCAGCACCACCCGATCCGACACTGCGGAGGGGGGGTGTGTGGGCGGAATGAATGAATGGGGGAATGAGTGAGTGGGTGCATGAATTAGTAAAGTGTGTGAAGGAATGAATGAGTGAATGCATGAGTGGATGGGCGAATAATACATTCGTGGGTGGTGAATGAATGGGTGGGTGAATTAGTGAAAGAATGAGTGGATCATTTAATGAATGAGAGAGTGATGATGATCACCTTTGAAGGGGTTAATTTTTCTGATCTTATCTTCAGCCGAGCGCTGCACCATCGCCTTCTTCACGCATTGAATCCCAACGTTGATAAGCCTGGACCGGCACCATATCATCACCATTATTATCATCATCACCAGCATCGTAATCACCATAATTAGTATAATCATAATAACCAGCATTAGCATAATCATCATCTTTAGCATAATCATCATCAAATACTACCATAATCATTAGAATCATCATCACATGTGGATAACATTACTGTGCTTGCAGGGATGTTCATGGTGAAGATGATGGTGTTGATCACGGTGTTCATGATATTGATGGTGATGCTGGTGATGTTGATGATGCTCATGACGGTGGTGGTTATGGATGGTGATGACGACGCTGATTGTGGCGATGATGATGATGATGATGATGTTGGTGTTTGCTGGTGACACTGATGACGATAATGCTGATGGTGGGGGGATGATGATGATGATGTTGGTGTTTGCTGGTGACACTGATGACGATAATGCTGATGGTGGGGGGATGATGATGATGTTGGTGTTTGCTGGTGACACTGATGACGATAATGCTGATGGTAGGGGGATGATGATGATGTTGGTGTTTGCTGGTGACACTGATGACGATAATGCTGATGATGATGATGTTGACTCACTGCACGATCGTGCGGCCCTGGACCACGATCTGCTTGAAGATGCCATCTTCGCAATCGCGGCCCACCAGGCTGTAGGGGTGTGGCCGGTGGGGAGCGTCGCGCATCACCAGGCACACTTGCACCTCGGCCTTGCCCGTCAAGTTCACCAGCTGCCATCAACCACCACCAACATCAGTGGCATCACAGCATGAGCATTACAAAATCATGCACACACACGAGTAAGTACAAAAACGATGATCGTCATCATAGCAACATTACCACAGCATCACTACATCATCATCACTGCAACATCGTCACTTAAGATTGCTTTCCTTCCCCGCACCTCCGATTAGCACGGTTGGCTACGCACGGTGCGAAAGAAGTTCAACATACATAAATATATGTATACGGTGACCGAAGCAGTGGTAAATACTAGAAACTGTTGTAATATCTTCTCCGATTCCAGTGTGGTATGGGCCATGCGTAATAATGCAGCTGTTCACATTAAACAACTTCGGAAAGAAAGCAATTTTACAGCAATTATCTCTGCACTGAAAACAATACAAATTGCACATTCTCATCACACACACACACAGCACACGTTAAACTGTGCACACGGGCAGAAGCTAATTTAAAAATATTCGGGTTGGATTTGATTCCACGTTGGTTGCTTTAACAATAAATATAAAGACCTGGTCACGACAATGTTATGGATGTTATCATTATGAATTCTCAGAGACCAAAGTCTTGCTCAAAAGGTGCATTGATGTTGGTGCTCATCTTCTGCTTACAGCCCTACAATATCATCACCGGCCTAATAATCCGATGACGCGATGATTACCGTAGATCGCGTGCCCACCACCTCACTGCCTCATCCTCGTGACACCCCCCACCCCCCTCCCCATCGCGTAACCCCCACGCGTGACCCCCACACCCCCCCCCGCGTGTCCGTACCCGCACGCTGGGGTAGGTTTTGTCGCGGTCCGTAGAGCTGGCACCGAGCAGGGAGCCCGCGCACGTGCCCTCGGACGGGTAGCGGAACCTCATGCCCCGCGCCTCGGGCTGCTCGACCACCTCCAGGAAGGGGGCGGCAGGGCCGCGACCTGGGGGAGGGTTGTGGAGGGGAGAGGTCGGTGAGATGTGGGGGAGGCGGGGTGGGGGGGGGACCCCTCTATCCACGCATGGTTGAGGTGGGGAGGGGGGCACGTACGTCCATGATTCCTCTGAGCGCGCCGTATAGCGTGGAAGCTACACACGTGATCACAAAGGTCCCCCCCCCCCCCCCCGCATATCCTCAACAGTGTTTTGAAGCAAGTGTGATGGGAGCGAGTAGCAGCACCTCTATGTCACACTCAACTCATAGGCAGGGCTACATTTCAGCCAGAGCTGCCCTGGGCTGAGCTTCGGAAAATATCTCCCATGGAGATTTGGGAGTACGCACCGTGGACATACGGCCCTTTGTCACTCCACTGCTGGATGCCCCCCCCCCCCCATTCCTCTGGATTGCACAGACAGGCACTCGGAGATTAATTATATTTGTTGACGCGGGTGAGAAACATCGAGCCTTAAGCATGACCCCGCGGGAGGGGCCTTGGTAAAAATAAAAATAAGGAAGTTACAGCAAAGAATAAATCACAACATTGCAGACACTTGAGTGGCGAAGTCACTGGAGAAGAACATTGAGACGTGTGCACCACCGGCCACTCGGGTGTCACCGTCAGCAGGGGACGTGCGCGTGTATCATCGACACTGCAGCGCTCAGTCGCACCGGGCCCCGTTAGCCACACGCATTTGGGGATGTCGCTTAGCGCGGATCAGAAATACAACGGCCACGTGGCGCGGGGGTTCGCTAACCACGTGTGCGTGGTTGGGGGGAAGAGATATTGGGGGGGGGGGAAGAGATATTTCATTGAGGAAGGAAATGGAAAGAGGCTAGCAACACGAGATTACGTCTCACCGTCGCCAGATTTCGCCGTGGGTGACATTCGGGAGAAGCGAGAGAAACGTTATGATGAGGTCGGGCCGACCCGCTCGAACTTGGCTTCTGATAATAAAAGAAAAAGCCTCATCGGTTTCCTCCTCCAGTCTAAAATAACTATTCTGAGGCCACGGAGGTAATGATGAGCCGATCTGTTATGGAGGCCAGAATGGATTTCGTCGCCCCGCGAGTTGCTTCGTCAAAGCCGAGCGGAGATGGCGACGAGTCTCGGAGGACGGCCACCGATGGGAGACGGAGCGATGTGAAATCGGCTCGTGTGCGGCTGCCTGCTGCGTGGGATTCTCAGAAAGTCGTCACGCGATGGCGACCTGATGGCGGAGGCTAGGCGGGAGGGCCTCCTTCATCCAGCGGTGGATTGGACGTTAGAAGTCGTCTCGTGTGTCCCGTTAGTAGTCGTAGTAGTAACGCCGGTGGTCCCTGTGTCTCTCATTCACCCTCCCCAGTCACAACACGCGCCGCCGCCCTGCTCTGTGTATTTGCCACGGGGAATATGGCCCCAAAAACCGCAAGTTTCACATGAGTATTATTCCACCATTGGAACCTCCTTTGCCAGAAGCAACCACGAGCTCTCATACTCTGATGGTAAGCAACCCCAAGCTCTCATACTCTGATGGTGCATTGTCTTTGAGTTGTGCGCCTTTTGGCGTCATCTGGTCCAACACCATGTGAGACTAGGCTCTAAGGAAAGCTGTCTCGGGTGTGGACCAATCAATTTCAAGGACAGTGCATACATCATCAGAGTTGTGTTTTTTGTTTGCATTCCGACTGCAGGTATTGTAGTCAATGCAAACATGACTCCTTGTAAAAAAAGGTTTCAGTTTTGTTGCCAGATAAAAAGGGTAAAAAAACAATTATCATGAGTATTATTATCAGGGCCCACATCACAATGGCCCACGTGGCGATCCCAACACAAAATCAACGTCAATTCAGATCGAGGTGACTGAATCACAAATAATATGAATGGGTCGCTTTTGTTTTATTAAAGCAAATTGCATCTCAAAACGCTTCACATTTTGATCCACTACACCACACACACCAACAGCCTAAAATCAAAAACATGAACTGCATTTAAAAAAAAAGTGGTTAAGAATAAGTAGACCCACAGATGAATAAAATAAAAAGCGGCAAAGGAGGGCACGGAGGTGAACAAAGCATGGACGAGGTGGGGGCTACGTGAAACAAGAGACGTTTTCACTGGACATAAACACAGACCAAAGACAAAGATCCCCCCCATATAGCCTCAACAGGCTGTTGTGGCAAGTGCTGATCGCACTAATGAAGGCAGGGCACACGAGGGGGTAGGTGGCCAGCACCATGCCCGGCCGCCTTTGTCTCCCTCGTGGCGATGTTCACACATCGCACCAGGTACTCATTTGAGGCCGAGTTGACCTAGGGGAGATCCAAGATGTTGGCATGCCTGACCGTGAGTGGGAATCGAACTTGGGTGGCCGGGTTCGTAGCACAGCACGCTAACTGCTGCACTACATACACAAACACACATACAACAGCTGCGCCACCGCTCCCCACATAAACACATGTCACTACCATAATCATCAGTACAGTCATGGTAAACGCACCTGCTGGACGAAAACTCTCGCCACCGTGCGATACAATATAATCCAGTTGCACCTCCGATTAGCACGATTGGCTTCGTACAGCACCAAATAAGTTGAACATACAAAAGCTTCCAGCACGTGCCGCGAAATGTCGGACATCCTGTCGGTTGTACAGGAGGCGGGACAGCCTAAATGAGCACATTGTGGGAGAGAGATAAGGCAGCACAATCGCGCCAAATCCAGCACGTGAAAAGTAAAAAAGAAATATTTGACCAGGTAAGGCCCACTGAGCATGACAGCTCTTTTTCAGAAGCGACCTGGCTATTAATGATGGCTCTACGAAGTGCATTATCACGTGGCAATTTATAGCAGCCAAATATTCTAAACGCATGTTTCTAAATGTGGAGGATAAAACTGGAAGGACCAGGAGAAAAATCCACGCGACCACGATTATAGACACACGCAAACTACAAATATATAGCAGGCGTCGGGTTCGGGATCGAACTCACGACTTCGTGTATACCAGGCGAGGTAGTTAACATCTCGCCACCGTGGCGTCCTCGGTGATGTGGCGATGCTGCTGCATTGCTAGTGTTGCAAAAGCAGTCAACAACACCAAAAAAACACACTCGACACATTCCGTGTCAATTAATTTTCCATAATTTAAAACATATTTTGCACGTGCTGTGAAGGGACATTGTCCGAAACGTCGCCTATTATTAATGAATGTGTTGAGTGGTGTTTTTGTGGACATTTTCGGAGCAGAGTCAGACCAGGTGACTCACTTTTCTCTAGGTCAGTGGCCGGCAACCGAAAAAATGTGCCATTTTTTTTTATTTGGTAAAAAAATTAAATCTATATTCCAAAAGCCACAATGCATGTGAATACAAAGCAGTCCTTAAAGAGCCGCGTGCGCCTCCAGACCTGCAGGTTGCCGAACCCTGCCATATGGCCATTCATTCGTAGGGGACATGAGAAAATATTGACCGAGTATTGTGTTGTAAAAACAAAGGCATATGCCGTACATACACATCAGCGGGGAATGCATAGCAGGTTTCCCTCGCTTTGTGCGATTTCGTGGAGCTGCGGCTAATCTATTTCTACCAAAAATTCGCGTTTGAATCCACTCTCCATGCGGCTATGCGGTCGGCCGTGGAACAACATTTTGTGAACCGTGTGTGTGTGTCCTGCGTGTGTGTCCTGTGTCCTGTGTGTCTTGTGTGTGTGTGTCCTGTGTGTGTCCTGTGTGTGTGTGTGTCCTGTGTGTGTGTGTGTCCTGTGCGTATGTGTCCTGCGTGTGTGTCCTGTGTTTGTCCTGTGTGTGTGTCCTGTGTGTGTGTCCTGAGTGTGTGTCCTGTGTGTGTGTCCTGCGTGTGTGTCCTGTGTGTGTGTGTCCTGTGTGTGTGTCCTGCGTGTGTGTCCTGCGTGTGTGTCCTGCGTGTGTGTCCTGCGTGTGTGCCCTGTGTGTGTATCCTGTGTGTGTGTGTCCTGCGTGTGTGTCTTGCGTGTGTGTCCTGTGTGTGTATCCTGTGTGTGTGTGTCCTGCGTGTGTGTCCTGCGTGTGTGTCCTGTGTGTGTATCCTGTGTGTGTGTCCTGCGTGTGTGTCCTGCGTGTGTGTCCTGTGTGTGTGTCCTGCGTGTGTGTCCTGCGTGTGTGTCCTGCGTGTGTATCCTGTGTGTGTGTGTCCTGCGTGTGTGTCCTGCGTGTGTGTCCTGCGTGTGTATCCTGTGTGTGTGTGTCCTGTGTGTGTGTGTCCTGCGTGTGTATCCTGCGTGTGTGTCCTGCGTGTGTGTCCTGCGTGTGTATCCTGTGTGTGTCCTGCGTGTGTATCCTGTGTGTGTCCTGCGTGTGTGTCCTGCGTGTGTGTCCTGTGTGTGTGTCCTGTGTGTGTGTCCTGTGTGTGTTCTGCGTGTGTCCTGCGTGTGTGTCCTGCGTGTGTATCCTGTGTGTGTGTGTCCTGTGTGTGAACCCCGTGTACAATGTGTGCGCTACTCGGCAGGCTTCTGACCTCCTCGCGCGGTTTCGCTTTTTTGCGTCCTTTTGTTTTGAAACGCATCTACTACCCCTACCACGAAACCAAGCGAGGGTAACCTGTATTCACCCTCTCAGCTTGGCTGACCACACGCGGTCATTGCACTCTCAGGTCTCGTTGGAATGAACGGAAATGAAGCGTTGCAGTGATAACTTAGCAAAGAGAAGCCGCGCAATGGCTGGGCAGAGGTCGCGTGGGCATCGATCGGCGAACGATTGCAGAGACGGCGGCGGTATCCGTTGGAAGGTCACGGATGCCCGCGGACACGCGAACACACCGGTGGTCTCGAGTCGTGTGAACCCGGAGCAGGCGATGTTGAAGGCGCTCCGGGATCAATACCGAGGCGACGCGGGCAGTGATTTTGTAAATCTGAACTTGAAGATTAAAAAAAATGGAAAAGTCGCACGTGGATGCATTGTTGACGTGGAGGCTGTTGTCGAAGAGTGAAAAGTGCGCAAAGCAGCAGGAAGAATGAGATTGAGGGACTCAGAAAGAGGACACGCGCGGGTTTATTACATCATCCAAACTATGAAGCGAGTGGCTGGTCACGAATAACAAGAACCACAGCCACCTCGAAGTGACTGCCAAAGGATGGAATGCACTTCCGCCGTGGAGATGGAACGATGCGAAAGCAACCCGCAAGGGTCGCGAGAGACCGGTGACGGCACGGGGAGGATGTATTTCATCCAGCAGTGGATGGGTCATTGCTGATGACATTGACGGAACGCAACTGAGCGCAATGAATCCGTGAAATGGATGCAGACGGCGATGAGAGCCACAATGGCGGCGCGACTCTGCGAGCCATCCCTTTCACTTCCTCCAGACTCTCGCCATCCCCTTCCCCACAGCGCTGTGGTACCCCCACGACTGCCCCAGCTGCAATCCCCTACAACTCCCCCCAGCTCTCTCGGGAATCGACGAACTCGGGTCGCCGGGTTCGTAGCGCATCGCGCCAAACGCTAAACAATCGCTCCCCACAAACACTCCCCCTCCACCCCTCCACGACCCTACGGAAAACGCCTTTAACCACGACAGCCCGGTGTTGAACCTCGCGTGAGACGAGGGAGCCGGACTTTGATGCCTAAGCAGCTGCAGCCATGTCGCCTCCCTCGGATGAATCGCAACTCGAGGATAGAAACCTCGGAGTGGCGCCCCCTGCTCCCAGCTCCCCCCCAGCTGCCCCCCCCCCCCTCATTCGGCCAATGTTGTTCCTCTTAAAGCTGCGCGGGGTTAATTAAAAAAAAATTTATTGAAAGAGAGAGACATTGAACGTACTTCGTAAACCCACTGTACAGGGTGGTCCAGACCGATATAGCTCAGTGGGCATTACCCGGTCAAATACAAAGTTTAGTTTTCAATATAAAAGGCGACGTTTCGGGTAAAGGCCCCTTCTTCATAGCACATAAACAGAGAGGCCGGTAGAGATACAGAGGGGGTCACATGAGCTGGAGGTCTGCGCGTGTTTACACCACGGGGCCCGATTAATGTGTGTCGTGCACCCTCCTCCAGCCGACGCGGGATGAACGAACGCGCCACGTGGTTCCTGCATTGCAGCAGCAGCACCACCGGTGTTCTGCTGGGCAGCGATCTCGCAACGTTTAACAAAACCAAAACATTTACAAATGGGTACGAATGGCCTGATCAGGATCACATTTTAATAACGTTATATTATGACCGTTTATTTTTTTGTAAACATGCACATTAACTATTTTACCAGGTAAGACCCGATGCAGCTCTTTTTTTCAGAAGCGACCTGGGCTTGTCACAAATGACAGCTCAACGACGTGGTTTGTCACGTGGAAATGTACAGCAGCCAAATAATATAAACGCACGCTTCTAAACGTGGAGAAAAAAATAACCGCAGGATCCGGATGAATATTTACACACTAATTGTAGCTATTGAGTACCAAACGGACGCCTTCCATGATCACATTTACTGAAAATCCTCATTTGCATTAAAATTAAAGTCACAAAATGTTGCCATTTCTCTGGCCTCTCTGTCCACGTACTCTGAAGAAGGGCCATTACCCGAAGCGTCGCCTCTATTAAACATTTTCCTCCGTCTTAAGGCCATACACGTGTCATTATTGAGGTGAGTGTCGAGTTTTCGTTCCACCTTCACGGTTTTATTTCGCAGGTAAAACAGGTTTGCGCGGTATCGTGCGGTTACATTCAAATAATCACCGCACCTGTCGGGCAGCACCACGTGACGCTGGTAATTAGACCCCCCCCCACTTCTCTCCCGCCCCCCCCTCCCCGCCCGCAAATGGCGTCTCGATACCGCCTCTCAGGACGAGAAGGCGAATTTCACATTCACAGCACACACCACGCAATTCAACACAAAACCTCAACCAGAGCTCAACACGCTCGTCAATGATAACAACGCTATCCTTTCTGTGCGAGTGCACCCTTGGAATGATATGCAGTCAAGTTATCTAGATATAGGCGAGGTTTCTACCAACGGCCCTTCTTGTTGTTTGACTTGCATCCCACTGGGATTTTTGCACACAGCGTTGGTGTACGGTGTTTTTTCTGCAATATTTTGCTGTCTTTTCTTGGATTTGCTGTTTGCACTTAGTCACATATTCACTTTAAGATGTTTTTTGTTCATGTTTTAGTTTTTTGTTTGTTGCGGTTGCACCCGATTCAAGAGCCGAATGGCTCACAGGGCTATACCTAATACATGAACTTGAACTTCATCGCACACAATAAATGGAGAGGCCAGGAGAGAGAAAGAGGGCGCGGGTAGGAAGAGTTTTGAGAGTGCAATCGTTGATACAGGCGGGTGATGTTCTCGAGGGTGCGTGGCGATGGATGCAATTGCACCGTGGAACCAGGTGTCGGAGGGGCCTAAGGTTCAGGGCTGGCGAGGGCAGCAGGGGAGAGGGCAGACTGCCCACGTTGTGTTGAGTCCCTCGGGAGCCATGCGAAAATGCGGTGAGCCACATGTGCCGAGTCAGTGGCGCTTAGGGTGGCGTCCAACGGCTCTGGTACGAGCGGACCGTGATAATCATTCTCCCTTCTAACACAAACGCTGTTGGCTATGATGAATGTTCTTTGAAAGTTCATAAATTCTTGTTAACGATGTTTTGGAGGTTAATACGAGTTTGTTTAGGAGCAACCTGCACATTCTTTGAGACGTGACTTACCGTCCGTGTCAACTGGCCAGGCAAACTTTTTGTTGAATGCTCTATAGGATAAAATTGAGCTTTCGTGACTGCAGGAATTATTCTTTGGTTCTTTCGGTAAAGTCAGAGTGATAAAATTGAGGTCTAAGTACGTATGTTGAACTTCGTTCGCAATGCTCATAGCCAACCATACTAATCGGTGGTGCGGGAGAAGAATAACAACAAACTAAGCACACGAAAGCAGTTCTAAAGAAATGCGTTTTCAACCTAGATTTAAAAGTGCTCGAGTGGTTTTCTAATATCGGGAGGAAGAGCGTTCCGGACGACCGCAGAAGCGCGAGCCAAAACGCTGCTGCGAGGTTGACCGGAGTTCGCGTGATGATGGTTTGTGCTCCTTGACGAGATCGGCCAAGTTGTTGTGGCGGTTCATTTGCGGCAAGCACTCTCGTCGTGTGTGAATGAGCGCGACCTCACAATGTGTTCGTTCAGCGACCGGAAGCCAATGCAGCCCGGCGAGCACCGGACGCACACGGTCAGATCTTGCAGGACACGTCACGACACGTGCCAAGGAATGTTGCTACTGACGATGATATTTATCCGTGGTGAGTGTAGCCCTGCACCTTGCAGTATAGCAGTGGACCGTACCCCGAAGTGTTACGATCGGGTTTCTCTGGACCGCAGCGGTGGGGCAATTGCTCTGAACCCGGCGTCCTGTGGTTAGATTCCCAGCCGGGGCGAAACACGAGTGGAGCGTGAGTGATATCTGACCCGTTCATAGACAAGCTCGCCCTCCCTTCCCACCCCTATCCACCTTCAGCAACCCGCACTGACCAGCGTGGTGAAGTATGGTCAAGCAACTCCAATTAATGACACTACGAGAAGAGGCCTTCATCCAGCAGTGGAATCACAGAGAGTTGCAAATCAATAGCATGAGAAAAAACGTGTCGGGCAATGACACCTCTTCATGAATCATCGGTGTGTGATAAAGAAGGGCCATTGCCTGAAACGTCGCCTATTATATTTTCCCCCTTTTAAGAGCCACAGTGGTATTGACACTATGTGTTGAGTTATTAATTTTGCTTGTGCAACACTGCCAACACAGCATCAGCAGCATCGCCACAACCACCGTATAATAAGTTGAATTATGTTCTTAGTTTGATTGTTTTATTCTCGTTCATCATTGCACTTAATGTCCATCTCATCGTAAAGTCGTCGCACCGTCGCGTTGCGCTCCGCGTCTTCGCGTCCCAGGTCTCCCTCGCGAGGAGACGAACTCGTCTGGGGAAGGGCGGGGGGGGACAATGATCCTTCAATGAGGAGGGGGCGGCGGGGTTAATTTCTCCAAACAATTGTTTTGATCATTTACACTTTTGTTGAAAACGTATCACATGCTGGTTGTCAAGGGGGCCCCAACTCGTAGCTTTGGCCACCAGGGGGGCGGGGGGGGGGGCAAGGTACCCCCCTGCGTCCCACGCTCGTTACCCGACTGCCTCCCACGTATTCCTCCGCCACGATGGGAGGAAAGGGGGTGACGGAAGGAGTGGTAGTTACTGTACCACGGCGAGCACGCTGCAACTTCCAATCCATCGTCAAAGCAGTCACCGCGTTCTATCGGCCTCAGCGCCACACTCCACAGGAGGCGAACCACTGGGTTCGCAGGCAATGGGGGGGGGGGGGGTATTTGTCTGCGTGTGACCGTCTAGCGCAGTGGTTCTTCACTTTTACTGCAGCCTTGCACCCCTTTGCTTCTGAATCGTTACGAAAAAACTGCAATGCAATGTTAATAAATACATCGGTTTGATGAAATGAAGTATTTGTACTGACGTGCCCGTGCTTAATTTGTATTTCGATTATTTACCTTAAAAAAAAACTAAATATGGCCATGTCTCGCACCTCCAGAAAGGGCGTCTCGCACCCTCTGTGGGTGCGTGCACCCCTGTGGGTGCGTGCACCCCTTTGGGTGCGTGCACCCCTGTGGGTGCGTGCACCCCTGTGGGTGCGTGCACTCACAGGCGGTGCGTGCACCCCTGTGGGTGCGTGCACCCCTGTGGGTGCGTGCACCCCCTGTGGGTGCGTGCACTCACAGGCGGTGCGTGCACCCCTGTGGGTGCGTGCACCCCTGTGGGTGCGTGCACCCCTGTGGGTGCGTGCACCCCCTGTGGGTGCGTGCACCCCTGTGGGTGCGTGCACCCCCTGTGGGTGCGTGCACCCCTGTGGGTGCGTGCACCCCCTGTGGGTGCGTGCACCCACAGGGGGTGCGTGCACCCCAGGTTAAAGACCACTGCTCGAGCATGAGGCTCCGAGCAGCAGCAGCAGCAGGCGTGGAACTCTCCACCGAGCCGGACCTGCGAGGAAAGCCATTTCACCGCATCCGCGATCCCAATGTCCGGGACAATGTGGAAACATTGTCAATTTCTCCCGCCCTCGCATCACCCAACTAAACCTTGACATCGTACGGGTCTCTAGCCCTTCTAGAACACGAGTCGAGCTTATATCACTCGGTCATTCACTCAGCTGTAGCCCTTCTAGAACACGAGTAGAACTCACATCACTCGGTCACTCACTCAGCTCTAGCCCTTCTAGAACACGAGTAGAACTCACATCACTCGGTCACTCACTCAGCTCTCGCCCTTCTAGAACATGAGTAGAACCCACATCACTCGGTCACTCACTCAACTCTAGCCCTTCTAGAACACGAGTCGAGCTTACATCACTCGGTCATTCACTCAACTCTAGCCCTTCTAGAACACGAGTAGAACTCACATCACTCGGTCACTCACTCAGCTCTAGCCCTTCTAGAACACGAGTCGAGCTTACATCACTCGGTCACTCACTCAGCTCTAGCCCTTCTAGAACACGAGTAGAACTCACATCACTCAGTCACTCACTCAGTTCTAGCCCTTCTAGAACACGAGTAGAACTCACATCACTCGGTCACTCACTCAGCTCTAGCCCTTCTAGAACACGAGTAGAACTCACATCACTCGGTCACTCACTCAGCTCTCGCCCTTCTAGAACACGAGTAGAACTCACATCACTCGGTCACTCACTCAGCTGTAGCCCTTCTAGAACACGAGTAGAACTCACATCACTCGGTCACTCACTCAGCTCTAGCCCTTCTAGAACACGAGTAGAACTCACATCACTCGGTCACTCACTCAGCTCTCGTCCTTCTAGAACACGAGTAGAACTCACATCACTCGGTCACTCACTCAGCTCTCGTCCTTCTAGAACACGAGTAGAACTCACATCACTCAGTCACTCACTCAGTTCTAGCCCTTCTAGAACACGAGTCGAGCTTACATCGGTAGCTCCCTCGGCGTTATAACCCTTCGAGAACATTAGAATTGACAAGACACCCATAAACTTTCTAGCCCTTCTTGAAAATCCCAAATTTGACATTGCTCACTCAGCTCGCCCTTCGACATACACCACGATTAGAGCATGCATCGGCCGCTAACGCGCGTGTTGGTTCAGTAGATAGCTGAATTCTATCAATCAACACGGTGGGTGTTTACACAGTGGAACTCAAAGCTACAACCGTCGCCAACGCTCACCCGAGGCATGTTAACACACACACGATCAGTAAGTCGTAAGCAGCAGCAGCTGCTGCAGTGTGTGTGCCCATATCGAGTGCCGACTCCACAACTACGATTCGTGCACAACCACAACCATGATCTCGCCCGCCTCGTCTTGCTTCACTCATCTTCTTCCATGCCCCATCTCATCCTCTTCTTCTCTCTCTCTCTGTCCTTCGTTATCCCTGTGTCCAATCCCGTTTCCGAACATTCTCCCTCCTTGCACCCCTCCACTGGAATCAACTTTCCCTGTATATCGAGCAACACTGCACATAGACTCAACACTGCACATAGACTCAACACTGCACCATAGACTCAACACTGCACATAGACTCAACACTGCACCATAGACTCAACACTGCACCATAGACTCAGCACTGCACATAGACTCAACACTGCACATAGACTCAGCACTGCACATAGACTCAGCACTGCACATAGACTCAACACTGCACATAGACTCAACACTGCACCATAGACTCAACACTGCACCATAGACTCAACACTGCACCATAGACTCAACACTGCACCATAGACTCAACACTGCACCATAGACTAACACTGCCCATAGACTCGACACTGCCCATAGACTCTACACTGCCCATAGACTCAACACGACCCATAGACTCTACACTGCCCATAGACTCAGCACTGCCCATAGACTCGACACTGCCCATAGACTCGACACTGCCCATAGACTCAGCACTGCCCATAGACTCTACACTGTCCATAGACTCAACACGACCCATAGACTCTACACTGCCCATAGACTCAGCACTGCCCATAGACTCAAAACTGCCCATAGACTCAACACTGCCCATAGACTCAAAATGGCCCATAGACTCTACACTGCCCATAGACTCAGCACTGCACATAGACTCAACACTGCCCATAGACTCAACACTGCCCATAGACTCAACACTGCCCATAGACTCAACACTGTCCATAGACTCAACACTGCCCATAGACTCGACACTGCACCATAGACTCAGCACTGCACATAGACTCAACACTGCCCATAGACTCAAAATGGCCCATAGACTCTACACTGCCCATAGACTCAGCACTGCACATAGACTCAACACTGCCCATAGACTCAACACTGCCCATAGACTCAAAATGGCCCATAGACTCTACACTGCCCATAGACTCAGCACTGCACATAGACTCAGCACTGCACATAGACTCAACACTGCCCATAGACCCAACACTGCCCATAGACTCAAAATGGCCCATAGACTCTACACTGCCCATAGACTCAGCACTGCACATAGACTCAACACTGCCCATAGACTCAACACTGCCCATAGACTCAACACTGCCCATAGACTCAACACTGCCCATAGACTCAACACTGCACCATAGACTCAGCACTGCACATAGACTCAACACTGCCCATAGACTCAAAATGGGCCATAGACTCTACACTGTCCATAGACTCAGCACTGCCCATAGACTCGACACTGCCCATAGACTCAACACTGCCCATACACTCAAAACTGCACCATAGACTCAACACTGCACCATAGACTCAAAACTGCCCATAGACTCAACACTGCCCATAGACTCAACACTGCACCATAGACTCAACACTGCACCATAGACTAGACACAGCCCATAGACTCAACAGTGCACCATGGATTCAACGCTGCCCAAAGACTCAACACTGCCGACAGACTCAACACTGCCCATAGACTAAACCCGGACATAGACTCAACACTGCCGACAGACTCAACACTGCCCATAGACTAAACCCGGACATAGACTCAATACTGCCGACAGACTCAACACTGCCCATAGACTAAACCCGGACATAGACTCAACACTGCCGACAGACTCAACACTGCCCATAGACTAAACCCGGACATAGACTCAATACTGCCGACAGACTCAACACTGCCCATAGACTAAACCCGGACATAGACTCAATACTGCCCCTGTACGTGAAGCAGTCCCCTTCCTGAACCTCCTTCCGTTCCTCTCTTCAATCCTCACCTCTTCTCCATTTCCCATTCCCTTCCTCTTCCCCCCTCGCCCATCCACTCCGTTTCGTCACCCCCTACCGTTCCGTGACCCCCACATGCCCTCCCTGGCCATCTCTCTCGTTTTGTTACCGCTTTTGAACTCTGTTATAGAGAGCACCCGCCTTGAACCGAGAGCACCCGGGCGCTCTATAAATATATATCAAGATATTAATTGTATTGGTAATCATTGACATTGGTAAGGCGCATTTCATCCGTGAATGTGCAAAGAATGCTTTTTTTTAACGAATGTGCAGAGACAAATGTGTGGAGGAGACGTAGCGTCTGTTTTAATATCGATAAAGAAGGCCGCAGAGTTAGGCTGACGGACGAAGTTGTTACCTGCCATGAACCTTTTGATATACACGATACATGCGTGCGCTGTTGGTAGGCCTCGGCAAGGTAAGGTAATTTACCATTTTTACCGGGTAAAAGGGTAAAGGTGTCGACATGCCAAGGGGTAAGGTCAAGGGTAGGGTAAAGGTAGCTCGGAAGAATTACCCGGTAGGGTAAAAGTAGCGCGAAGTATTACCCGGTAAATACGGTGCCTTGTTTACCGATAAAAGCTCCGTGGCGCAGTCCGTGGCCTCCATTTAATAAGTAATATTAAAACAAACTTTTTTTAAAACGCGCTTTTATGAAACGTACGAGTAATGACAGAACTCCACGACTCCAGGAA